AGCAGGAATAGTAGTGAACTGATGGATGGAGTTATGGTAAGAACTGAAGAGGAGATTTCAGGTGCCAGTCTGAAGCAGGAAGAGGATTCTCACTCTGATTTACCCAGCACATACGTCACTGAGGTAATCAAGTGGATAATACCTGATTTTTTTTCCCTGCTTCTATATTGAGAATGATTTCCTTGCATCTTTGACCTTTATGCTAGTCTATTCATATCAGTATGTCAGTGATTTAGTGCATATTATAATTCTGAGGGCTTTATTTTTAAATCCTCTATCATTAATATGTTATGAATGTGAAAGTGGTATGGTTTAATTTGGAACTTGGGCTTAAATTTGACTTGAATACTTCCCTAGCTGTGGAGTTGCTTCACCACTCAGGGTACTTTAGAGTGGTGACTGTAGAAGGTAGTGGCATGGAACAGCTGTCTTCATTACCATTTGATGCTGTTTAAACCAGGCTGTGAAATTTTGATGCGTGTATTTTACAGGTAGGTAGACTGCTGAGCAAAGGAGATGAGAGAGAGTACTCAGCTTTTGCTCTATGAATTTAATAGTGTATTTCTGTGTGCACCACTTAGCTTGGTTTCCATTTTTGAGGACTTCCTTTAAACAGTGTACTCCAGTTAAGTATCTGTTATGTAGGAATGAGAAGCATTTAAACCATCTAGATCTGTTGCTTCCATCTCATTCAGCTCAGATGCCTCAGATGTAAAAACAAATGTATCCAAATTATTTCAGGCATTTGGAGTGTTTATATAGAATTCTTCCATCTCTCACTGAACCTATCACAGAGACTAAGGGAAGGAGAGTGGACATATGAAAAAGAGAGTGATACTTAGTGGGTAGAAAATAAGTCTTTAGAAGCTGAATTAGGTAAGACAGTGACAAGCAATGGGTTAGACTCAAATACTGCCTCCTGTTCTCCAAAACAGAAAGCTTTACAGTTGCTGTAATTCTGCTTTATATCCCTGTTGAAAAATCCATTGTTAGTATATCTGGACTTTGTTAGACTTTGGCTTTGCAAAACTGAATAGGCATTGCATATCCGTTGTGCTCGCACTAAGAGGAGGATCCTTGTATTTGTCAAAGGTCTGCTATTACATCCAAAGGTGGAGATTATTCTTCTGTGTTCTTCTTTCTTGTCTCATGGTAGAAACAGTTGTGAAATTTGTTCTTCTTTATAATTCTTACTTGCTTTATCCTTCTAATTAAATTCAAGTTTGCGTGTGCATAAGTTCCGGGAAACAGAGACTGTCTGTGGGTTTCTAAATGAAATGTTACTCTACAAAGACAGATCTAAATTCTGCTTACTTTAAGCCAGTGTTATTCTTCTGCACTTGTGAGCATTGTGCTGTTGCTGTATGGGCAGTGGGAAGTACTCAGTTGTGCTGCGGAGAGTTGTTATTTCTGGCTGGGAAAGGTGCCCATTTGTCACAGTGGCATTTTCAGGTTTTTTTCACACCTCCTTTTCTCAGTTTTAAGCTTTGCCACATCATGCTTTTCATGGGTGGGTTTTTATCTGTGTTCTCTGCAGAAATTGACTTTTGCAGCTCCGGCACACGGTGCCTTGCATGAATGGGTGCACATCTGGAGTGAGCTTAAATCACTGAGCTGCAGCACAGGTAGTCAGCTCATCCAGCAGCACCACACAAAGGGTGCTGCACAGTGCAAGGACTGCACAAGATGCTGCCTGTGCAAAAACACTGTGGAAACTATATAAGGAAACAGGTTTCGTATAACAAACATGGAGATTTTCTTGAGCAGAAAAGTTATCTCTACAAACATTTCCTGTACCTTCTGAAAACAGGGATAAATCCCTGTATTTTCATTCTGCCAGCTACATTTGCTGTCGTTCTGCATCAGTAATTCCTGAAGGCAGAATGAACCTTACGCACGTTGCACACACAAACTGGGATTCAAATGTCTGGTTACTCTGTCAGTATTAAGTAGGATGTCTTCCAGTGCATGTGCAGAATCAGGAGTCCACCGGAGTGTGCTGTGACACCAAGTAAGCCAAGTGTGTTATTTCCTGTCAGTGCCAGCACTACCAGGAAAGAGGCAGCAACAGCAGCTGTGGGACTAGAAGAAAGTAGGGATATTGACAGCTTGCACCTGGAAGGAATGAGTGTGTTGCCAATTATTTTGATATAATGTGGTTCAACCAAAAAAGTTCTGAGCCACCCTTCAGTCAGCGACTTATAGGACAAGGCACAACATTTAAAGTTGGTCTTCTGAGCTGTGTGTGCATTGGTTAAGACTTGTCACAGAAGCAGGAGTTACGAGACGAAGTTATTAAGCTCAGGTAAACCTGTCACATCTGTGGAGTTGGGACGTGCTATAAAGGTATTGCTTCAGTCTCTCAGAACATCTAGGGAGCAAGTAGAGGAATGGATTAATTATTCCTGTTAATAGACAGAATTTGTTACTTACACGAGAAGGTTTTATCACTACTGTGCAGTCTCTCATTTCCTCTCCCCATGTCCTCGATGCTGTTCACAGGGTAGAATTCTCTTATCTCATTTTGAATGCCTATCCTAGGACGAAATGTACCCTGCGAATGCTGAAGTAAGTAGCTCAGATGTTGACATTTCAACTGACAGAGATAAAATTCATTTGGGGAGTCTGTTGCTTCTTCTGGAGTATGGCAGGCCAAAGCAAGTTGTTCTGTTTTGCTATCCAGAATAATACCCCCCATCCTTTCCTTCTGTGTTTTTCAGGACCTGGGTTCTCCAACAATAGAAGAACAAGTTGATCAGCCTACAATAGATGATGAGACTGTGCTTATTGTTCCTTCTTCCCATGGTTTTATACAGACATCAGATGATATAGACAGTGAATCAGTGTTGCCCTTGACAACTCTAACAGGTATGACAGTCCCTTTGTAGGATTCACTACATCAGAATAGCACTTTTGAGTTCCTCAAAACAGTGCTTCGTAGATCCAGATCCTTACTTTCTCTAGAGTTGTTTTCCTTATCATTGCTATGAAACTTTAACCAATTTGATTAGCTCACTTACATCAGTATAAGTGGAAGAAAGTCTCACTTAACCTCATGGGAAAAGCAGTAGAACTGCAGGTGCTTCCTGACTTGCTGAGCTGTTCCCGTTGTCCTTGAGCCTTGAATTAGTACACGTAGGCTAATGAGTAACTGTTTATTGCACATTTCTTCATGCCTGCTGATAGAATTATATTGGTTTCCCATTTGAGAGAACACTGGAGACATCTGAAATGCAATTTGCCACTTGTTACCTCTCATAGTGAGAGGCTGGGCTCTTCGGGATGTTTGCACAGTGCTCACCTGGAAGGGCTTGGTAGCTTATGCCACACTTTCCAGTGCCAGGAGTAATCTCATACTTGGAAACAGCATAGGAATATTCTCCCAGTGCTGCAGCTAACAAATAATCCTTTCTGGAGGAAGGATCTCCTTGCATAGCCATCTTAGGGTCAGCCTTAGGCCTGGTGCATTAACACCTGGGGAGTCCCAACCTGGGTCGCACTAGTTGCGTCTGTATTAGTCACAGCTTCACTTGGAACTAGAAATTGAGAACTAGTTGCATTGGAGTTAACATTGCCTAAAATTGTTCCAAAGCTCAGAGTGCATTTTCTGTGTCGTGTTTAACATTTTGTTATAATGGAACACTAAATAATGGGTGAGTTCTAATTTACTGCGTCTCTTGGCAGATCCTATCCTACAGCATCATGGAGATGGGTCCCACATTATTGGCTCATCACTGGGCAGTCCTGACTCAGAAGATTCGAAAGACGTTGAAGATCTAGTGAGCTGTCACTGAGAGAAGCAGTAATCATGTCCATTTTGTATTGACTGTGTTTGCATTGTGAAATTAGTTACAACCCTGTGCCACGTTTCCAAAGAAAGCAGTCAGTCCATGTCTTTAAAAAGAAACTTACAGTTTGAAATGACGGCGGTGCACTTTCTCTGCTCAGGCCATTTACCTCATTTGTGAAGGGTTACAGAGCAGCCAATAGAAGCCTGATGTACTACGACCCAACCAGGGTGTTCCAGTGTTTCCCTGTTGGCAGTGCTCACTGCCAGGAGCCACGTGGTCAGTTCTGATCTGACTTGTGTTGAACTGCACATCTCAAAAACTGGACAGAAGGCAGCGATTGCGGACCGTAGCCTCTTAGTGCCACAGCAAGAAATAGTTTGCACATGTTTCATGAAGAAGGGGTGATGATTTCTGCACTTACTGACTCTTGCAATATGTGGAGCAAGACTGTTACATTTCAGGAAGAAATGTGTTCCATCAAAGACTTCAGGGAGCATGGGTAGCATCACAAAGAAATGGTCTGTCTTCCCATCTCATCATTACTGTGTCTACAGCATAGGACTTCAGACAGGTGCTTATGGGATTTGTCGGGTCTGCTTGTTCCTGAGCATCCGTTGCTGGCAACGGATAGAACTCAGATCATTTGTGGAAAATCTTTTTTGTTTTTCTTCTTCATCACTACATTAAGCTGAATAAAAAGGGAAGGCCTATGAGAAAGGGAAGCTACTGGTACCCGCCAGCCTCTCCCTGAACTGTTTTGAAGGTTGTTGTGAGTATGCTGGAACATTTGGTCTCGCTGTTTACATGACAGTACCAGCCACCTCTAGAGGTGATTTATGCAGCAAGGGAGTATATGGGAGGTTGGTGTGGAGGTGGCAAAGTCGTGGAGAAATAGCTCTGTGAGAACTTGGGCACAGAGCCCTGAGGCAAAGGAAGCCAATTAATTCCTACGCTCAAGGGTTGCAACAGACACTAGGCTGAGCAGCAGCCTGTTAGCTAGGGACTGAGAGTAAAAGCTATAGAGACTAAAGACTCGTGTATAAATTATTTTATTTATTTCTGTAATTAGCTCTTCATAATCAAGAGTGGGTCTTTTTCAGTCTGTGTTTTTGTTAACGTGAAAAATAAGTTGTAGTTTCAAATGGTTGCCTAGGGAACAGAAGTAATTGTATATTCAGTTTAAACAAAATAAAGAGTATTTGTCTTATGTAACTGTAAGATGCCATTTATTTATATTGCTACAGATCCTTGCAATGCTGCAGTTTATTTGTACAGTAATAAAAAATGCATTTTTTTTTTTCCAAAAATGAAAAAGCTTGTGCCATTCAGAAACATCAGTACAACTGGAATGTTCATTAAGTGCAACAGTAGCTCTTCAAAAAAAAGCAGGATGTCACATCTTATGGCAATAATTCTCCCCAACAAGAGGGACATTACATATACATTTACATGAAAATCATGTACTGATTTGTCCTTGCACAATCCACTTCTTTCAGGCTAACTGTACTCGTTTGTATGTCTCAGGCAGAGCCGAGAGCTGAGCTGAAAGCAGTCTGACACAGCAGCGTCATCGCTGGAATTCCCAATGCCTGTCATTTACCCACTTCATGGAAGTACAGGTTGGCACATATACATAACATGACAATAGAGAATAATACATAGTAAATTAGGTTCCTGAATTTAGGTTCCAGGTCTCCCTGTCGATACCAGTAGATCTAGAAGAAAGAATGAGTTTAGATTAGCTAAAATGTCGTATTTCTTCCTAGGAAACTCTGCAGAAACTGAACTGGCATCTTGTAGAATTGGGTAGGTTTTGTTTTTTGTTTTTTTTTCTTAAACAACCTAGCTTTATCCAACCAGAGAAAACTAAACACTGAGTCCAGCGAATTCTCTTAATAGTTAAGATGCAGCATTTTTCTTTTCCTTGAATACTTATGGAATATGCAAACAAGAATTTGGCAAGGTGGTGTCCTCCGAAATAAGGCTGTCAGTGAAACCGAGGTATCAGGTTGGCCATGAACTCTTGGAAGGAGTCCAGAAGGAGGGCCACTGAGATGATCAGAGGGCTGGAGCACCTCTCCTATGAGGAAAGGTTGGGGGAACTGGGTTTGTTTAGCTTGGAGAAGAGAAGGCTCCAGGGAGACCTCATTGTGGCCTTCCAGTACTTGAAGGGAGCACATAAACAGGAGGGGGAACGGCTGATTACAAGTGTGGACAGTGATAGAACAAGGCAGAATGCTCTTAAACTGAGACAGGGGAGGTTTAGGTTAGATATTAGGAGGAAGTTTTGCACACAGAGAGTGGTGAAGCACTGGAACAGGTTGCCCAAGGAGGCTGTGGATGCCCCATCCCTGCAGGCATTCAAGGCCAGGCTGGATGTGGCTCTGGGCAGCTTGGTCTGCTGGTTGGTGACCCTGCACATAGCAGGGGATTGAAACCAGATGATCATTGTGGTCCTTTTCAGCCCAGGCCATTCTATGATTCTATGAAGACATGGGTTTTCTTCTCACATTTCTTGAAGAGATTTTGTTTTCACAGAATCATAAAATCGTGTGAGTTGGAAAGGATGCTTAAACGTCATCTAGCCCAACCCCCCTAGAAAGTACAGGAACACCTACAGCTAGATCAGGTGTTCATAGCCCCATCCAGCCTGACCCTGGATATCTCCTTGGATGGATTCTCCACCACCTCTGTAGCTAACTGTTCTAGTGCTTCAATGCCCTTCCTGTGAAAAACTTTCTCCTTACATCCAGTCTTTTTCCTTATATCCAGCCTCTTCTCGCTTGAGAGTGGTTGGTTGGTTGGTTTTTAGGCACTCCCACCTGTCTACAGCCAAGTCAGCAAAGACAAATGGAAGGTTACGTCCAACACAATTTGTTTTGGAGTGACAACCAGCCACAGACCGAAGCATTTCAATGTCCTTCCCTTCTTTTCCCTACAGTGGTATTACAGAAAATCTTGTGAATTACATGAGGATTTTTCTGCTGAATGACTCACAGGGAGGGTCCTCCCAAAACTAGAAGCTGTTTTCAAGACCACAGAAATACAGACGGTCATCTGGGGCTGAGCAACACTGAATCGAGGAATAGCAGAATCCATGTTGCTGCAGTGTAAGATTGCTGACTATGCAATGCCACAACTCACAAAAACAGCTGCCACCAAAGTTTCACAACAGTAATTACAGATCATGCCTGCGCCCTTCCTCAAGCAGCTGCTAATTAGCAGGAGTGCACTTGTTCTGCAAACCGAAAATAAAACTGGCAGTAAGCTGACTGCAAAAGGATAAATGGTCTTCAAGCTACCAAAAACGAGGCTGACTGAAATGGTGTTTTTGACATACACAGATCCAAGTTTAAGGGGAAAGGTGACCTGTCCATGCCTGTCCCCATTCTGCTCCTCTTCCCTTTGTAGGAGGAGGAACTGGGCAGTGTGGAAAGTTAACTGGAAACACATCTGGGTTGTGCAGTGTGACCTAAAGCTGACCTTGGAAAAGGTGCATTAGCAAGGCTTCCTGTGAGACAATGAGATCCCACCAGTCTGTCAAGAGTGTAAGAAAGTAAAAGGCACCACATAAACAAGCTTTTACTCATGTTCCACCCAGAGACACATGAAAGCATACAGAGCAGATGAGGTACTTACAAGTATGCCAGCAGAAATGCAACACAAGAAGATGCAGATAGCAAAAAATATATTCACAGGTTTTGGAGGTAGTTGTGGGAAGACAAAAGCACTGATCAGAGTGACCTGTAAGGAGGAAAACACAGATGAAAAAGTTTGATCTCTCCAACCTCCATCTCTGTGAAGATGCAAGGTTCTCCACATTGGCTGAGCACCACAGCTGCCTGTCAGTTTCTCATCAACCCTTGTAAACCCAGAGACCATCAGCCTCCCCATGGTGAGATGTCAACTCCAAGGAAGCCAGCGGGCACAGCAGTGCACACAGACCATGTGTGGAAGCCAACCTTCCCATCACAGAATCACAGAATCACAGGGTTGGAAGGGACCTCAAGGATCACGAATCTCCAACCTCCCTGCCACATGCAGGGCCACCAACCTCCCCATTTAACACCAGACCAGGCTGCCCAGGGCCCCATCCAACCTGGCCTTGAACACCTCCAGGGACGGGGCATCCACAGCCTTTCTGGGCAGCCTGTTCCAGCACCTCACCACTCTCTCTGTAAAGAATTTCCCCCTGACATCCAACCTAAATCTCTCCTCCCTCAACTTAAAACCATTTCCCCTTGTCCTGCAAGCCATCCTAATAGCTTCTCCCCAGCCCATCCCTGTCTCCTCTCATACACTACAGAACCAACACTCCAATTGTGGTGGTGGTTGGTTTGTCTTGAAAGTGTGGGGAAGGCACAGCTTGAGACCTTGTGACTTCTTTGAAAAAACATGTATGTATCTGTACATGGAGGATGTAAAGAGAAGACGACCAATCTCCTGGATTAAGCCCTCCATACGTTGGCATGGCACGGACATAAGCTCCGTCCTCATCAGCTGCGGCTGCTTCAGTACAATCAGCCCTATAATGTCACGCTGGCTAAAGTTCAGAACGCTGTGTAGCAACCAGGCCACAGGCATCTAAGGGACACTTTCACTCAAAAACTCCAGGATGGGTTTCCTGGGGGCATTACCAGCACTGGCAGAAGGGAGGCATCACGTTTTCACCTGATCACCTACAGGAGACATGCAGAACGGGACGTGGGGTACTTACTACAAGCAGCAGGAACGTCAGGCTGCCAACAACTAGATTGATGATCCTGTCCTAAAGAGGAGAGAGGAGAATTATGCACACACCAAATGCACATAAACCAGACACAGAGCACTGAATCAGTGAGCATTCCTGTTATCAAAAAAATGTGCTTTAACCTCAGTGCCTGAGAGTGACAGCATGATCATAGAATTGTTTAAGTTGGGAGGGACCCTTAAAGCCCATCTAGTTCAACCCCCTGCACTGAACAGGGACATCCACAGCTAGATCAGGTTGCTCTGAGCTCCATCCAGCCTGACCTTGAGTGTCTCAGGTTGGAGAGGGGGAACAGAACCTGCGTTCAGGCACCAGCAGCACAACACTCTGCCACATGGCACCAGTCCCTGTGGGTCAGGGTTTCCTGTGAGTGCTGAAATTTTCCAAGCAGGCCACTGGTGGAACAAGGTATTTCAGGTTACAGAGATTAGAGGCACTGATCCTGAAATCCCAGGCTTGGCAGAGCACTGACAGGCTGTGTTCCCTGCGGCCACTTCAGCTCCAGGCAGCTTAGCACAGCAAAAAGGTTAAAAATACACAAGCAGAGGCCGAGACGGCTAAAGGGGATTGGAGATGATGGAGCCTTTCACCTCTGGGCCACGTCCCAGAGCACAGACTGGGACAGTGATGGGCCGTTTCCAACAAGCAGCACCATGCGCTGCCCTGGGAAGACTTTGCTCCAGGATCTGCATCACTTTATTATTAGACTTGCACATCCAAGCCATGAGACTGCAAGACTGCATGTACCAGCACAGCCTGAACATGGGGACTCATTTATGAGGGGATCCCCCATCCCTGGAGGTGCTCAAGGTCAGGCTGGATGGGCCCTGGTCAGCCTGAGCAGGTGGTAGGCAAACAACCCATGGCAGGAGTTGGAGCTGGGTGGGGTTTAAGGTCCCTTCCAACCCAAGCCGTTCTATGATTCTGTGACCCGCAGGCATGATGGAAGAGCCATTTTCACATCTCACATCAACAGCTCCAGAAGGCCAGCAGTACTCCCAGCATGACTGCAGCCTACCGCAGCCGTAGAGGACACCTTATCCTGTAGCCAGGTGACACTGCACGGAACTGCAGGCACTGTGACCCTATACACTACAGGAACCAAGCTCAGCTCCTCCAGCCACATGCCTGCTGTGCCCTCACCATCTCCTCATTACCACCCTGTGCTGCTCAGCCTCCTTACTGCTTTCTTCTCCCACCCGCAGCAATTAGTGCCCACTCAGCTATACTGAAACGCTCCCACCACAAAGCAACATGAGCAGCTTCCACTTTTAACTTCATCCTCCAGAAATCCCACACGTGTGATGCTTTGCCTATTGTCACATAGCCTCTCCTGCCTTCATTCTGCACTGCTTGCTACCCAGCGCTGCAGCCATAGTAACGGCAGCAGAATCTCCATCTCCCCATACTGATAACCTCCATATGGCTGCACCTCGGGGCTGCCCCTGACATCCAGAAGCCCTTTCTGCAGACCTCCGTGGTCCCTGATGCTCCACCAGCTCAGCTCTGAGCCCACCAAAGCGCAGCAGCTCCACATTTATAGAACATCTCAGGTTGGAAAGTGTGCCATAAGGATCATGAAGCCCAACTCCCAGCTCCTCAGGGCCACCCACCCAAAATCCAAATCCTATGCCTGAGAGCGTTGGCCAAACACTCCTTGAACTCTGAGCTCAGGCTGCCCTGGCTAGGCTTTTTCCATGCCCACCGCCCTTTGGTGCAGACCCTTTCCTAACATCCCCTGCCCCTCCTTTCCGCAGTTCCATGCCGTTCCCTCAGGTTCCATCACTGCCAAGGCCTCCCTGCCCTGTCCCATTCCCCGTCTCTACAGCACATCCAGGCACCCACCGCCCACCCAGAAATCCCCACCAGCCCCATTCATGCCCTGGTGCTCCTCCAAACCCGCTCCCATCTTGAGACACAGTCAGCTCTCACTCGGACCCCTCTGGCATTTGTTCCTAAGCAACCCTGGGAATTCCCAAGGCACCATTCAGCACCAGCACAGAGATCCTTTGTCCGGCGCTGCCACGGATACGTGGACCTCTGCCTGTCCCATGCCGCAGGTTTCCAAAAACCAAACACAGCAGACGGGCAGGGGGGAGATGTGCAGGGTGTTGGATCCACAGTGCAGCACACGAACTCAAATGAACGCCCGGTGGTTCTTATTGACTGCTCCCCACCACACACAGAGCAGCAACAGGAGACAGATGGGAAGTCTGGGACCAAAGGCCCGCCCAGGGATGGAGAGTTGTGTCCCATCTCTGGAGATGCTCAAGGCCAAGCTGGATGGAGCAGCCAGCGCACGGCAGGGCTTGGAGCTGGGTGGGCTGAGGTCCCTTCCAACCCCAGCTGTTCCTTGGCTCTATGATTCTATGATGAATTAGGGGGTTGCCTATTTGGAAGAAGCCCTGCCCAGTCAGTCCTACTGCACTGTGTCCCAGTGCTGCCAGGCTGTGCCCACTGTTAACAAGGATCGCAGAATCATAGAATCTTAGAGTCGGAAGGGACCTCTGAAGGCCATCCAGTCCAACTGCCCTGCAGTGAACAGGGAGAGGTGGAAGTTTGGGCTGTGGGGGGGAGCCCGGAGTCTCCTCTTCAAGTGGGAGCAGCCCTGCTTTGGGGTCCATCCACACATCAGTTTCTGGGTCGGGGTTTTGCTGTGTGAGCAGCGCATTTTCGTTGGCAGGGACACTGGTTTTGCCATTCTGCAAATTCAAAGGGTGTTGTTTTTTTTTTTCTCACAATCCGGCAGTGTCTTTCTGTTTTTCTTCCTTTTGCGGGCAGCTTCGCCGTCATTTCTTTGCTTTCTGCTGCCGTCCCGGGGCTGCCGGGGGGAAGATACTCCCCCTTAGTTGGGGCCGTTTGTCTCTGCGGGACGTCATTATCGAGGTACTCCTCCAGCAAAGCCCATCCGCGTCCCCCCCCCCCTCGGCCGCAGCCCTTACCCTGGTCGAGGTCTCCCCGAACAGAGGGCGGTTGTCCGGCCCTCCCGTGCCGTAACTCCGGGCGGCGAAGCCCTCCATAGCGGGGGGGCGCTGGGGCAGCTCGGGGGGGGCGCGCCCTCATGCTGCGCTCCGTAAGCCGCACCGCTCTGCGCCCGCACCGCTCCGCACCGCTCCGCTCCGACGCCCGCGGCGCCGCCCCCGCTGCCGGCCCGGCCCCGCTCTGCGCACACACACACACACAGATATACACACACACACACACACACACAGATATACACACACACAGAGATATGCACACACACACAGATATACACACACACACACACACACACGCGAAGGTGCTGAACGGCCCCACCGCGGGGCCCCGGGGGTGAGGGGAAGAACGAGGAGGCGGGGGAGGGGAAGGAGCTGTCGCCGTTGTGTGACGGGTTTGTTATTTTTTAAATAATTCCATTTGTTTTATTCATTTTTATTTCATTTCACATCAGTGTTCTATTCCATTCTGTTCCATTCCCCTCCATTCTATTTTGTTCCTATTCTATTCTGCTTTTTTTTTTTTTTTCTTTTTTCTTTCATTTCTGTTCTGTTCTGTTCTCAGAATCACAGAATCACAGGGTTGGAAGGGACCTCAAGGATCACGAATCTCCAACCCCCCTGCTTCAGGCAGGGCCACCAACCTCCCCATTTAATACCAGACCAGGCTGCCCAGGGCCCCATCCAACCTGGCCTTGAACACCTCCAGGGACGGGGCATCCACAGCCTCTCTGGGCAGCCTGTTCCAGCACCTCACCACTCTCATAGTAAAGAACTGCCCCCTGACATCCAACCTGAATCTTCCCTCCCTCAACTTAAAACCATTTTCCCTTGTATTGTCCTTTTCAAAGAGTTGATTCCCCTCCTGTTTGTAGGCTCCCTTTAGGTACTGAAAGGCTGCAATGAGGTCACCCCACAGCCTTCTTTCCTCCAGGCTGAACAAGCCCAACTCCCTCAGCCTGTCTTCGTAAGGGAGGTGCTCCAGTCCCCTGATCATCTTCATATTCTATTCTACTCTGTTCTGTACTATTCTATTCTATTCTATTCTATTCTATTCTATTCTATTCTATTCTATTCCAGTGTTTTCTGTTCTGTAATTCTGTTCCTCCATCCCACTCCACCCCACTCCACCCCACTCCACCCCATCCCATCCCATCCCATCCCATCCCATCCCATCCCACCCCATCCCATCCCATCCCATCCCACCCCATCCCATCCCATCCCATCCCATTCATTCTATCCAATCTCATCCCATATCATCTGGTGAGGGGTCTGGGGCACAGGCCTTATGAGGAGCAGCTGAAGGAGCTGGGATTGTTCAGTCTGAAGAAGAGGAGGCTGAGGGGAGACGTTATTGCTCTCTATAACTACCTGAAGGGAGGTTGTAGAGAGCTGGGGGTCGGCCTCTTCTCTTGTGTAACTGGTGATAGAACTAGAGGGAATGGCTACGAGCTGCACCAGGGGAGATTTAAGCTGGATGTTAGGAAAGACTTTTCTGAAAGAGTGGTCAGGCAGTGGAATGGGCTGCCCAGGGAGGTGGTGGAGTCACCAACCCTGGAGGTGTTCAAAGAACATTTGGATTTTGTGTTGAGGGGCATGGGTTTGTGAGAACTATTGGTGATAGGGGGATGGTTGGACTGGGTGATCCTGTGGGTCTTTTCCAACCTTGGTGATTCTATGATTCTATGATCTCATCTCATCTCATTCGATCCCACTCTGTCTCATCTCATCCCATCATTTTCTTTTCTGAAAGTTTTCAGCTCGTGTTGTAGAAGGAACCTGCCCAACTTGGCAGCACAATGCAGCTGAATGTCACCATATGGACCCTATCCTATTCCATTCCACCTCATCCCATTCCATCCCATTCCTTCCCATCCCATCCCATCCCATCCCGTCCCAACTCATCGTTTTCCTTTCTGAAAGTTTTCAGCTCACGTTGCCACAGGAACCTGCCCAGGTTGGGAGCACAGTGCAGGTGAACGTCACTGCACTGATCCTGTTCTTTAAGCAGATCTCATTACTGAAGCAGATACTGTGATTACAACAGATTAAAACATTTATTATTGTTTCTTTAAAAACATCTGATGAGCTCGGAAATGAGCTGTTGGGGTTTTCCTTTTCCCCTGGGCTTAGTACATGAAGTAGCTACAAGGGAGTGGTTATTGCTAGAGCAGAGATTTGTGGCAGTGGAACATTGTGCTCTATGCATCTCTCATGTTTGCCAGCTGAACTCCAGCACAGACCTTCCCGGCCCCATTTACCATATAATTTGCAGCAGCTTCTTCACCTCTGACAGTGGGTTTGGGTGCATGAAATCCTGATTGTTTTTCTTACTGTTTGTAACTCTCTCAGTTTGTCTCACAAAATATGTTTCCTCATGGTTACCCCAGACCATCATGGCAGCATTTCTCCAACTGCATTTTAGGATGAAAATAAAACAATAGCAGATGAGAAATGAACAAACCCCCGCACCAATGATGTGCATTCATTTGCTTGAGACTCCAATTTGGATGAACCCAACCATCCCAAGCCCCCTTTGGGCCAGAGGTCACCACTCATGGGAGCTCCCCAGCTCCTTAGCTGGGGAACTGGGCACTTTTATTGCAAAATATCTCAGCTATGCGAGGTGGAGGCGATGCTGGGCCCTCAGCTTTGGGGCACGCACTGTGTACACAGGGCCCAAGTGCTCTTCATCCCCACTTGGCCTCTCCCCTCTTGCAGTCACCGCATTTGAAGGCCAGCTTCAGAGATGAAAGAGAAGTTCAATTACATGATGAAGGGCTCTCTGAGCCCGCCTTTGTCCCGAGCTGAAGTGCTGGGTGGAAGTCAGAAAATCTCCTCCAGCCCTCAGGCGTTTGCTCCCACGCTCACTGGTTGGTGAAGAAGGGTCTCATGAAGGGCTCTTCACGTCATCTTGATCTGCTCAGAAGATAAATCCCATAGGTTGAGAAGTGCTCTCGACCTATGGAAATGTTACAGTTAGTTTTGCATTGGTGTTTCAGCTCTTGCCTGTATGCCTGAGCTCTGCCCAGATCAGTTCCAAGGGTTGGGCAGGTCTGGCTGGAGCCAGGGATGCACCTCATTGCTGGAGGACAGGGGTTGTGGCTGCCCCAGTGTTGTGTGCTGCATTTAGTCGTGGACTTATGGCTAAAAATGGGAACAACTTTCTCCACCACCCAATTAAATATTAATAATTAAGAACAGATACAAAATCCAGCCACAACCTGATGAAAGCACCAACCCTCACTGAACATGCATATATCTGAAATGCTGATGGAGGAGCTGAAGACACCAACCATTGCACTTAAGCTCACTCTACAGTGGTTTGGTTTCATTAGACCAGTACAACCATTTGGAATCATGGAATTCTTTGAGTTGGAAGAGGCCCTTTAGAGGTCATCTGGTCCAACTCCCCTGCAATGAACAGGCACATCTACAGCTCCATTGGGTGCACAGAGCCTCATCCAGCCTGACCTTGTGTACCTCCAGGGATGGGGCATCCACCACATTTCTGAGCAACTTGTTTCAGTGTTTCACTGCCCTTATTGTAAAAAAACTTTTTTCTTATATCTAATTCTGCCCTCTTTTAGTTTGAAACCATTTCCCCTTATCTGTCCCAACCGACTCTGATAAAGAGCCTGTCCCCTTCTTCCTTATAGCCCCCCTGTAGATACCTGGTGTTTCAACATTGGTTTCACTTGCACAGCTCAGTTCAAGGCTCCCTGGGCCTCTATGGTTGTGATTCTATGATAAATTACGTCTCTTTCACTGGATGGCAACACTTGTTTGGCAAATGCAGTGTCTCACTGAGCTGTGTCTTCTTTCCCAACAGGACATGTTTGGATCATTATGCAAGCAATGTCCTGTGAGTCTGATTTTGCAGGAGCATGGCAGCATGTATTTCAGTGGGACCTCTGGGCTGTTGCACGTGGCCCCATCCACGAGTTGCACACACAGCTGAATCCCTCTGGAGGCTGGAGATAAATAAGTCTTTGTAGCAGGAGCCTGCAGGGGAGGACACTGGTTGGTAGCAGGGTGTATGACCAGGCAGGGGCTGTCTCACATGACAAGACTGGAAAGCTCAGTTTGGCTGCTGAGCAGCCAAGAAGAGATTTTGTGGGTTTATTCTACACATGAGAAGGAGTAAATGCTAGGGAACAAGCGAAATATTTAAGCTAATGGGTTTTGCTGGCATGGAAGCAAATGGCTGTGAATGATGTTCAAACTGGGAGATTTCAGCCTGTCAAAGGAGGGAAGCTCAGGACAGCCCTTCAGATGGAACTGTGGGAGCAGAAAACAAAACTGCTTAAAGGATGAAGTTTGGTTGGCTTATGAGAAATAAAATAAGGTAAGAATCAGCACTGGAAATCAGATGTCCTTTTCAGCAATAAGTCTGCTTTCCACAAATCCAAGCTCAGCAAAAAGATGATTTGGCAGCAGATACTCTCACACTTAAATGCATTTGGTGTGGCCTCACTCCCACAGCCAGAGCTCCGGCATCACAGATCCCACCGGCATCATGAATGTGAGCGCAGGCTCAACCTGTGCTATGGGTTTAGTTTTCTCTCTACCCTTATCTTCTGAGCTCATCTTTCAATGTCTGTCAAACATGAAGTCTCCCCTGGAAAGTGGGATCATGCCTCCAGCACTGGCATATGGGGTTAAACTCCTTAACATTTAATCTAGCCTAACATTTGTGTTAGCACTCGAAATACACCTCATCCACAGAACAAATGCTAGAAATACCCTTAGTGTGCATCCCATACCTGGCATGGCAGGCTGATGATGAACGTGGGCATTTCCACCAATGCTCACTGATGAAACATCACTCAGAAAAGCTGTGGTTTGGGATTTTTTGTCACATCTCTAAGCTCAGGGGACCCCTACATGGCAGAATAGAACTAATTATAAAATAATAGAATCACAGAGTCATTCAGGTTGGAAAAGACCACTAAGGTCATCTAGTCCAGCCATTGAATGATTTGTCCCATTTGCAAAAACTGGATCAAGCCAAATATATAACAAAAATAAAAACAAACTGTCACCATCAAGTTCAAAACAAGCATGTTTGTGACTGCCACAATT